GAATAACAAATAACAAAAATGTAGTTTTGATGACATTGTGAAGTACTGTTGGAAAATCATGGAAGTTGTTGTTATTCCATTGTTATAACACCACCGCAATCCGCTTGATGAAATCTTATCTGTGATGATATCAGAAACTGTTCTTGACAAAGTAAAGATAATATTTCAGTCACCTAGGTTCGCTGACCTTTCTTCTTTATTTCCCTACAAATCACATGTTATTCCCGGAGTTATAGCCATCGCATATCAGACAGGCAAGGAAACGCACCATGATAATGTGCCTCATTGACAGGGATAAGTTAACAGATATCTTTGGATTTGAATATTTCGGAAACATTTGGGGAAGATGTACTATAACTCTTAACTTTAATTGTAATCAATGTTACAATACTAATCCTTAGAACTGAACCTTACAAAATAAAAATCAAATCCTGGAAATTCGTTTAAATTTAAAGAAAGGCTCCATTTAATCAACAGTCGGCACTGTAGTATACATTGGCATTTTTTGGGGGCTAAGTTTCATCCGTTGACATAATTCCGCATTGTGTCAGACGGGTAGTTAGATGCTTCAGTGTCTGGTTTCCATCACTACAAGAGTTCATACAGTAAACTCTTACCTTGACAGTGCAGCATGTCTATCCATGCGGGCTTTGAGGTCCTCATTCTCCTGCTGGACCTTCTGAAGGCTCTCATCCAACTTCACATTTTTCTCTTTCTGGAAAGAAGAAAGAATCCACAGAATGATTGAGTGATTCATGTGTTTGTTTTTAAACCAATGTCAGTAGCAATGCTTGTATCAATGCCTCAGGTCTCACCAGTTTGTCGATCTCCATCATCTTCTTTTCCTGCTGGTGGAGCTGTTTGTTTTTGATATCCAGCACCACTTTGAGACTCTCCAGCTCTTGCTCCAGATACAGTGTGTGGGAGTCCTTCTGCGGGGACAAATAAACAGTGCCAAGATGTTCGAAAATGTGTACCACCAGCCTGTAAATGTCATGTGGCTATAAATCCAGAACCACACAACAGAGGGCGCCATGCATCACTCAAAATATCCATTGCTCACAGGAGCAAGGAAACTCTTGTTTAGGTGTCATACACAATGACATAACAATGACAAACACGCAAATAATGTGTTGTGCAGAAGGTAGTGTTTTAACTACACAATATCTAATGTATTCTATATGTAATATTGAGCCGTTTCTAATGTTGCTCCTATTATTTATCTATCAATAGTAGATGTGGAGTGGCAGGGTAATGTGAAGTAGTTTCCTTAATTACGCTACTGTGCCAGGACAGAATGCTGAGCACATGAGGCAACCACTTAATACTGATGAGGAGCGGCAGCATCACTGTACAACAGCACTCTGGGAAAATTAAAGTCTACACCCAAGACGGAGAGGGAGGGCTGCGTTGTAGTTAAAACGGAGATGTAGCAGAGTTGGCCCCACTCCGGTGAGTTTTACGTGGTAAAATAAGTTAATGATTAATTGACCAGATAAAATAACTAATTTTTAAGAGTTGTCTAAGAAAATTGCATTGATTGTTGTCTCTGTTGGTAATTTATCTTTCTGGTAATCATTGACTTCATGGTATTTAACCTTTGATGCTTCGAGGCAAGCAACACTGGAGTCATGAGATGTTTCCTAAGTGGAGCTTTGCTATAATAAGCACACAGATAAGAGTACCTGACTCTTTTCGGCCAGCTCCTTCCTCCTGTTCTCCTCTGCAGTTAGCTTCTCAATGAGAGCATTGTTCTCCACCGTCAGCGCTTCAATCTGTTCCTGTGGTTGTGCACAGCACAACAAAGTCAGAGAGTAAAGTTTTTTACACGCTGTTTCATCAGTCCTTAAGTTCCTTTCATCCCATGCTATTGTTTGTGTGAATTTATTTGAAAAATAGTAATAATAATAATAATAATAATAATAATAATAATAATAATAATAATAAAATAAAAAGTCAGGCTTACAGATAAAGCAGCTTCTGCATCTTTCAAAGTTTTGTCCAAAGACTGCAGCTCCTGATTGTGGACTTTGCTGAGCTCTAAAGAGTATACAGGTATTATGGAATCAGAAATATTTCAGGAAACTGTAGAACAAAAGGTCAAGGCTAATCACAATGTAATGTTAGGATGAAATAAGAAAATGTATACATGCATTTGTTAACTGGGGTAGAATATGACAAGTTAAAATACAACTTGAGACAGTTTCAAATAAATAATGTAGTTTTAATAATTTGGTCCAGTGCTGCTGCACTCACCTTCCAGTGACTTTTCATACTGCTGTTTAACACACTGCAGCTGTTCTGTATGGCTCTTCTCTAGTTCCAGCTTCATGGCTTCATGATTGGCTTTAAGCTCTCCCATCTTCAGAAAGAACACAGGGTAGATTTCATTTTGAACCACATCAATGATGAAGATGTTTAAACAACAATTTAAAAAAATGACAGACAGATTATTGATAAAGAACACCCCACTTTGCACTGGTGTCTGAGCCTTTATATTCAATTTCCATTAAATGAATCTAACAATAGAAGAGCCTACAAATGAAAATACAGTAATATACTGGGAGTGTAAAGCAAATCTTCCCACATAGATATTGGTATAGGAACAAACCTGCTGTTGCATGAGAGTCTTGCACTTGTTAGCCTCCTCCTGGTAGGTGAGGTGGACCTTGTCCCACTCTGCCTGGTAGAAGGCCTGCAGTCTCTGCTCCAGCTCGACCAGGTCCTTCTGGTGCTGCTCCTGCAGTTTCTGCAGTGCCTCCTCCAGAGCAACACGCAGCTCATCCTTCTCCTTCTCCAGACGCTCAGACGAATGGACGGAGCAGACTGGACATAAAAACACAAAGCTATTATTGTATCTTGGTAAAACATGTTAAAAAAATGTTAATGCGCATTAATGTTCAGAGACTGTACGCAGTTGTGCAGACTGTAATATTCATTAAACAGGGTAGAGGAAAACTTGTATTAGTAACTGCTTACGTAATAAATATGATATGTCCACTGAGGAACCTCTGTTTAGCAAAGTTCTCCCTTGATGTAAATGTGTGACAGTAAATGTGCTCCAAAAAGGAATGGAAAATCTGACTTTCATGGGGAGGTTCCTCTGCACTTGACTGGATATGCCAACAACACTGCAGTTATTTATAGGCAGATGAAGATATGCTAACAAGTCTCTAAATTATTGCACAATATCTTGAAATCAGTAACATAAAGGTAAAAGATTTCTAAAGTCAGACTCGTCTCTCCTTCATTCCACAGACGGTAATTTGCCATTTTTAAAATCAGTTCAACTGATGGCTTTTGTTTTTGTAAACCAGCTTCACAGTGTTTATATCTGCTCTGGAGTGGGTGACTGTGACTAACTCCATAACCTGTCTGCAGTTTAAGTGCTTGTGCACAAACACCGTTGATACCAGGCAGCTGGTGCTGCCAGTCGATGTGAACCTCTGTTCACTAGTAAATCCACACTGATGGTGTACAGTAAGAAAGACAGCCGTGCAGATTAAGCAGGTGATTTTCTTTAAAAGGTTTGGTCTTAAAATACGTGGTCTGACAATAAACCACAACTATTTAGAACCTGAAACTATGTTTAACTTTAAGAGTAATAATACTGAACCCAGATGTTGCTCTGCTATGCTACAACATGTGTGGTAGGTAAATCTCCAGTTAACTGCTCTCACAGACCATCAGGACATAATAAATGTATTATTATCAAAATAAAGTCTACAATTATATATCCCATTCTAAAACACAGATATAGTGACCACAGTACAATGCTTCCATGGTTACCAAAGGCTCTTTTTATAGTATCTCTTGCACAAAAGAAAGATTCCTGTTTAGCCATGAGGGCCACATGCTACATTTGTTTTGAAGGTTGCAGTTTACATCATGTTGGACAACTCTGACACAGGCATATAGTCTCATATCTTGTTAATCACAGTGTGTATTCCTGTTGCTGTCTGGTTGTAAATTAAATCCCACAATCTATTTTTTGCACAGCTAAATACTGAGCTACAGTATAAAGGAAGACTGCAGTGCATAAGCATGAAGATTCACCTTCACAAGAGTGGAATAACAGCAGCAGATCCAAGAACAGAAGCCAAACTAACATAGGGACTATCTATCAGGCTTTGGCATGTACAGCTCAACAAACGGAGCTCCCAGCACTCCACAGCCATGTGTAACAGAGATCTGGTCATATGAGCCTTTCTAGTCCAAATCCACCTCACAAAAACACCTCATGGCTCATACGGGGGAGGAGGGCCCAGTTAATCTAAAGTTAGCTGCATTTTGGCCCTCAGTAACCAGGATGATGGGGTTTGGAGGTGTCACGGATAATGCTGAAAAAGACAGATCCCTCTCAGATGTCATTCTGCGTGTGAAGAATGATAACAAAAAGGGGTGTGGTTGAATCCAAATTTTGGCTGTGGCCCAAGACTCTAATTTATTGCTGTATGCGGAGTGAGATCACTGTGGAAGCAGGCAAGGACACAGTTTGAAAGGAAAATAAACCAAAAGCAGACGTAAGAATGACTCTGGGCTTCCAAGATTTTTTACTACACATAATACAAAAGGTCCATCTGAGGCCAGTGTGGGTCTCACAACCTCCCTGACGCTAAGAATGTGTTAAAGCGCAGATATAACAGCGCTCAGCATATAAGAGCAGTCATGTGGAAGTCCCGAGGCTGTGAGGGATGGGCGGAGCCACAACATTTCTACTGCCTTAAGTAAGAGAAATGAAAGCTGGTGTGGGAGTGTGCATGTGCCTCTACGTGCAAGGCTGTTCTGTGTGACAGCAATTAGGCTGGACATTAAACATCGGCCATTGTTGCCCTGAACCTTTACAAGGCCTCAGGTGGTGTGGCATTCCACCACTGGGAGCCCCCCCCCCCTCCTGTGTGGGGTCAGAGGTCAGCCTGCCACTCCCTGGGGAATGGGCTGCCTACACAGCAACACTTCAACACACAAACACATCTTTGACAAACAGGCATCTGATTTTCAGCGGAGGACAAAGCAATTAACAAGTGGAGGAAGAACCACAGGGAGCATCTGTGCAGTGTGCAAAAGCAAACAAGAGGAAGACCTTCCCCGCATATAGAAATGGTAATATTTAATTCATGAAACGATTGAGACACCATCTGATATGAAAAGTTACCCCATCACAGCACAAACCACTTCAAGGCATAGCACTGAACTATTTTATTATAATCAAGTACCAATTAAATTGTTTTTAAAAATCAATTTAACTGCATGACTGTCAGTGTGGAGGAATTTATGCAATGTAATGTGTGACTCAATTCATCAATGAACATCTAAATTAAAGCACCAATGACTCAGATCAATAACTACATTAGACCAAAGCAAAGAAATAAATCATCCAAGTAAACAACTAAACACTCAAGATAAAAAAACAAAACAATAGCTAACACAAGAAAGCCATATTGTCCTCATTATCTGTACCAACATTATCCTAAAAGGCTTCCTGTCTAAAAGCTGACCTGTACCAGGAGTGTGTACTTTGGTGATAACTTTAAACAGTGCTGGTGTGTGACCAAGGTGACCTGACTTACCCAGATCTCCTCGAAGGTTGACCAGCTCCTGGGACAGATCCCTGCACTGCCTTGTGGCTTCATCACGCTGCAGAGGAAAAAAATAAATAAATAAAAAAATGTCAACAGTCTTGCACATGCTCATGAAGATGACTTTTTTTGAGTCTTTGATTTGACACAGCAACCAGCTTAAATCATCACAAGATCACAAATGATAAATCATAAAGCTATTCACTGTTAGGAGGAAGGTTTTGTCAGGACAACACCCTGACACATAACCAGGACACTGTGCTTGTCTGCCAAATCTAACTACATTAGAAGCAGAGCAGCTAACAAAGAAAACAACATTAGTAGGGATAGGGAGAGGGTGATTACAGAAAACTTGACTTTCAACTCATGTTTTCAATCTTAGCACATGCCTTCTGTCAGCCCCAACTCCTTTACTTCTCCCTTTCTGACTCAGTTTTTCAGTGGAGAGGGGGCTGCGCTGTAGCTGCAGTGCTCCTCCAGACTTCAGACTGACGCATCAATGATCCAAAAACCATTTACCTCCTCTTTACTACCCTTCTCTGACAATGCTGATTCACATAAACAACCTGACACATGAAACAGCACAACACACAGCCTGAATACCTAAATTATTAAGACAAAATAGCCAAGTAAGACAAGCCAAATATCACTTTGCTGATCAGTTTACAAGAGCAAATATAACCCATGCTGTCCTGCTATACCCCAGATCTGCATCTATTCCTCACTGCAGAGTAGAACAATGTAGAAGCCAGTTACCCTCTCTGCAGCGCAGGGAGCACTAAGGCACGCTTTGCTGCCAGAACAGCCCATGATCCAGCCTCAGCTCGAGGCTTGGGTGCCGGAGTCTCCCCTCCAGCTATGGAGACCCAGTACTCCAGTATAAACAGTGGTCCAGGTGGACGCGCCACCTCCACACACCTCCTCCCAGACTGCTCTGACTACATGTGAGGCAGGACTAAAAAAGCCGCTTCACTGGCTGTGGTGAGTGACTGCAGAGTGCATTACCGTATTACACCTAAAAAAAAAAAGGGGCAGGCTCCAGTGTGCATGAGAACAGCCTCCTCACCAGCGAGGTGAGGTCACTTTAAGACAGCACTAAAGGCAGTGGAGCAAACAGATAAAATGTACAGAGCTGCCTGACATCAGGCTGATGGAGCAGGACTTGTGCTGTGCAGTGACCTTCCCAGGGGAAACTGGGAGAGGCTTCATTACCACCATCCCCCACCACTCATCCAAACCTACATTAAATCATCCCCCCTCTGCACCATTACCTTACAGTCTGCTGTGCAGCTACAGGCTTCATGGGTACAATCTCTCCATTACAAGATGATATAATGCTGAGGCAGATCACATCATCCTGCTTCTGTTTGAGTCTTTACAGTCAATGTATAGAATTAAAGAAAATGATATGTCACTTGTTGACTAACCACCGCATGTCCTTGCTAATTATTTCTCAGACTGCATTACAAACAGCACATCTTAACCAGTAATTGTCAATTTTAAATTGTATCATAACTAAGATCATGACAACTGCTCCCCATACACAGGTAAACTAACCAGTCAGGCATGTGTTTTGACGCTGCTTTACCGGTCTCCACTTCTCACACACAGCTGCGGCTTTCTGTGTGATGACTCAAGTTTTCCTTTATGAAGGCATGCTGATGTTTTGTAAGCAGTATCTGTCAATTAAAAATGTTTTGTATATGCTGAAAAGATGGGAGGATTAACCATAAATGATTTGGATGTAGGACTGTATTGTATTTTATTGAGCAACATATCTGCTAAACTTTTTCTTGCATAAAACCTTATATCGAGTTTCTTAGTTGGTAAAGCCCATTGAACTCTAAGGGACATCTAGCTTGGTGCAAAGAGTAGCATGTCCCCAGTGTATATCAATATGATACCATGTCAGGTGTAGAATAACACTTAATGCTAGACTAAGATCAATGACTAATTGCTTCAGATCAAGTTACAATTTCCTGGAAATATTATGAATATCAGAAAGCAAGTGAAGTGAAGTGGGATCGTAAATATTTTGTCTGGTTATTTGGGAATGTGTTGGAATTCCAGCACTAAAATGAAACTCGTGTCACAGCATTTTCTCTTTGAGAGAAAGTATGTTAAACCAGGTCCGGTACTTACACACTCCATCCAAACAGATGATAAGAAACAGCACTCAGTCCTTGCTTAGTGTTTGGCTGCTGTTCATAACCATATCAAGTCAACAGCTGGGACATTCTCACACTATGATGGTATGGACCTGCCTCCTATTCCTGGTCTGATGAGTGGCCAACAGATTCCATTGTACACTACACACACACACACAGACCATTAATGCACCTGATAGACAAATCTGCTGTTTGTGTACTGAATTGATGTTTTAATATTGAATGCTTATTGCGTAATGTGTATGTTGTAGACTGTGGGTATGACTAAGAAGAATTAGGAAATTCTGTAGATAAAGTTGAGTCAGTGAGGCTGAGACAGCTGCTTTTCCATCTCAGAGGAACAAACATATTGTTTTTTTAATATTTGTTGATGTAATCAGTTTCGCAACCCTGCCACCAAAACAGAGGGATGTGAGTCAAATGTCAGTGACTGGAAATCACACACTGTGCCTTAAATACCAGCTGTCACATTACGTGAGCCATCATCTGATTCTGATACATTCAAACACACTTTTTCTCCAGCTTTATTCTGTATGACTGCTTGTATCCATCAGTCAATACTCTCTTCACTGTTCTTAAAAAAATAAAGTTACCACTGGCTCTTTAATGCCTGGAATGTAAACTCAAGTTACAACAGGTGAAAATGTTCCCAAGATGGCTCCTAAACATCTGATGAGCAAATGTCAGAATCATTTAAGACACTTGACTGCAAAATCAGAATAGCTATATTTCTTCACCTTGTTGATCAGCGGGGCAGTGCAACTGGCAGCAGAAATTAAGAAACTGCCGTACTCACTGATGCTCGCTGAGGCTAAAATTGGACTGATATGAACTCTGTCACAACTGCAACTATCCAGAGGGCTTCCACAAGGGATCTGTCTGGTGTCAAACTCTGGAGTGAGGCAGGAGTGAAGGGAGTTTCTGTAATCTAGGCCAAAGGAAATAAATGCAGGAGTGATTTTCTGTATTATGACAGAGAAGCAGTGGTGTCGTTTTCTGAAATAGGTATCAGCTGAAGACAGCTCAAGTGTACAAACATCCTCTTGTTTCTTGGCCACGCGTCATGCTTCAAGTTTTTCCTTAAGTTCAATCTCTTTGTATAATGTCCAATATAATAATGTCAGATTGAAAGAAATTCAGACTACTACACACTTTAATAATTGTTAAATCAAATGTTTTGGTGTGAGTTGCTGAGTTTCGTAGCTAACATGACCCGATTACTTGCGCAGTTTCATGTATAACCTCACTACAGGTAAGAGGGGGAAAAAATATGTAATTTTGATTATGGGGTGTCCCTTTAAGTATGTCCCTTTCTCTTCCTTTGAGTCACTACATCAGCAACAAGCATATGATCCCTCATCGTTGAGCTAGAAGCACCACAGCTACAGTAGGACTACTACGGTGTTCTCCCTGGTGCCCTGTAAATCTACTATATTTGCAGTAAAGGGATGTTGGGTTAAACAAAAATGTGTGCGCATGGAGGTTATTACTACAACCTCACATATGTGCATTTAATGGATTTGGCTTCAACACCCTGTGCTGGTGTGTCAGGGGTGTAGCAACAATGAGCCCAGAGATCCAGTTGAGCCATTGCAAGGGAGTTATGGCAAGTTACCAGCGGCCTCTAGAGGAAAACCCTGGCAGACCTGATGTCTGCCCTTTGTGCCACTGAATCAGGCCTCATCTGACAATGACAAAAAACCTATTTACAAACACAGTAAGAAAGGAAAAAATGACAAGTCAAAAACCTGTTATATATTGACAATAACAGGAGGTTTAGCAGGGGAAATTTACAGAACTGATAGTATTTTTGGATTCAATCAGTCATTGCTGCTGACATTTGACAATAGTCAGTGCAACAGGCATCGTTAGCCAGGAGATTATGAATTATGAATGAGATTACTTATCACTGTTTTTAATTAACAGCACTGAACCACAAGATTCAGTATTTGTTACATACATGTAAAAGTGTTTTATGGTTTCTAACTTAAATCTATATGTGAATTTAAAATAAGATTCATTGTGATTTTCTGCAAGAAAAACTACTAAAATCTAATAAATTAAAAGAAGTAATTTGTCAGAGACATCTCAACTCTGACACACTAAGTACTTTATCTATGGATGAGTCTAGAGGTTGAGTGGTGTAATCCTATGAAGTAAAGACAGGATCTTAACAATTCAGTGGGAGCCACTATGTCACCTTGTCTTAAATCAATTTATATTTGGACAGTACATTCCAGTTGTTTCATTCAATCAACACATATGGTGTGAAAATATTTGAGAAGGACATTTCTAAAGTTAACTGGAGGGACTGAAATAGCTTGTGACATTTTATGTACTGAACGGGGTAACATAGTATCTGATTTTGTAAATCTTTACTAACTGCATTACAATGTAATTAAATGGCTTCTGATGTAAATATACTTAGCAGAGCTCAAGCGCCATATGATAATTTTGCTGTGACAACAACTAAATGAGGGAGTATGATTGTTGGGGTCGGATGAAGAGTAGCTGATGGTATAAGCCTGTTTGTACAGCACTGTGGGAAGAATAATCCCTCGGGGCATCCAGTTCCTGGAAGCCAATCACATGGCTTCACTATTAAAACAGATCCAAAACAAACAGCAAGCTTAAAAACATCCATATTTTAAAGGCTCTCATGCTTGCCTACCTGAATAACATATGAATCTATGAAGGGTACAACGGAAAGACTTTTAGATAGTAGCCACAATAAGCTCAGACTTACAAGGTCTTTACAAGAACATGCAAATAATACGGCACTAATTCATTAATAATTCATTCTTAAATGGAGCAGAATTTGTTTTTGATCTAGGATTGTGTTAGTTGTTCAGTGGATGACAACAAGGCTGTTTTGTGTTGGACAGTTTCCAAGTATGTCTGTGATGTAAGAGGGGCTGCACACCCTCATGTTCTTACAATCACCCCCCCATGTTGTTGCTGTAAATAGAAATGCCATTTAGTTTGCCTCGTATCAACACACAGGACTTCATGTTGTAACACATGTAGTTATAATTCAAGGTGATCAATCAAAAGATAACGGCTGTTTTTAATCTGTTGACTAAAGCAAAGTACATTCTTGTTAATGCAATGCAGTTTAAATGTGGTTGGTTTCCACTGATTGGACAGATATTGCGATTCCACATAGATAACTGTCTAATATATATGTAAAAAATGTAAATTCAAGAATTGCCTTTATTGTGATACCTTCTTTATAATAGACAACCTAGTTCGATAAGATATTGATGTGAGCCACACTGAACACCCAAAATCACAAAGTGTACTAGGCCAGTGTTCTCTGGAAGCGTCATGATTATTGACAGCAAATACATGTTGTTGTTATAATACTCTTCATTATTTCGTCTCTTTTTAAACATTTCAATTTAATTTTCCAGAATAAATAAAGTTTATATTCTATAACTAACTTTCCATTGTAAATAAAATGCTCATACCTCAGTCAAGGTTTGCTGCAAGACGATGGCAACTGCCTCAAATCTGCAGTTACTCGCTGCTAGGAGTCCTCTGAGCTGCTGGATGCTCTGGTCCTTTCTCCCACCCTCAGGGACACTTGCTGGTACCACATCCGGAGGTCCATTACTGTGGTTCTGTTGGGAAGCTTGCTGCTGAGGAGGTTGCTGGCAGGAGCTGGCCTTGGGTTTGTTCTTGTCCACTGTGAAAGAACATGTGTTGAGTGTTGTGACAACATTGATCATTATCAAACCCCCCTCCTCCATAGCCGCTGCAGCTGGTCTGACAGCAGTACCACCCACTCTATACACTCCTGTCAGGGAGCAAGCTCCGGTGTCATGTGGATATTTCTGCAGTCCAGAACTGTTCTGCCCAATCAGCCCGTCGGATGATTCCCAGTGCTGCTCCTCTGACAGCCCAGACGTAAAAATGGATCCTCTGAATGCAATTAGTTTTCCATATCCTGATTCAATCTAGTGCTCTGCAGATACTGGTCACCACGGACAACTTATGTTAGCAACGCAGTGCTACAGTAGTTTTGATTTACATCGGCTTTATAAATACATCACCCCTATACAACAACTATCGTCAGTCCAACTAATGAAGAACACTTTGTTCACGCTACTGAAACACTGAGGCATCAGAATAGAGACAGACTCACTCACCACTGAGCGTTACAGTGGAGAGGAGGGGAAAAAGGACTAATCACTGATACTGGCCACCTGTGTTAAAACAGTTTCTCTGAAAGCAGTTTGTCTATGAGCAGACTGTAATGAGCGTTATGTAACACAGCAGTGAGGATGGCCTGAGACATATCAGGAATACCAGTGAGTGGAATACACTGTGGCACCAGTGGCCTGTGGGGATACTTGCTCAGCTCTGTCTGCTGTTTAAGATAACAGCTGTTAGAGCCAATTAAGATTACTAAGCAAAAAAAAACAAATATTGATATAGTTGCCAGTGAATTTGGAACATCAGTGATAAATCTACTTTAAGGCTATTGTAGTTGACTCCAACCAATAGCTACCTTAATACTTTGCAGTCACAACCTCTGCCCATGACGCATTTATAATCGTGCCCTGGACCTGGAACATATTGAAGTTAAATTTAGACGCACTAAGCAGGGTATCATTTGAACATCATAACATCCGAGAATAACATCAACATGTAACTGCGGAATACAGACATACTTTTTAGCATTTACTCAGATACCAAATTTCAAAATAAGATGCTGTAGTTTCTATTGGCAGTGAAGAGAGGGTCTTCAAGGTAACAAAAAGAAGCGTCTTCCTTGCCTACTGTAAATAGCTGATCCTGAAGCTGCAGAGCGGGCAGCACTCTGGACCCTGACCTGACCGGGGCAACATAATACTGCAGAGAGAAGAACACTCCAGGCTGGCCGTGCCAACAGGGGGAACATTTTAATGATGGACTGAGAGGAAACAGACTCAAAGACCAAAGTGTGGCATCAAGATAGTAAAAGGAAAACATTCTATGTGAGAACAGGATAATAAAAAGTCAGATCCAGCTCATCTGAATAATTATGTGCTGCATTCATGCCATCGACCGACCGAATTTACACAGCCTCATATTCAGATATGCGGTTCACCTCAAAACTAGTTTCTCATGTCCTCTCTGTGTTTCTCAGCTAAAGTAAACACTTAAAATACCGGCACAGCCTTTAAGACAAACAAAATATGAATATTATACTACAGCTGGATGGTTGGTACAACTGTTAAAACAAGGCACACTCCTTACTATACCTTTTAAGTGATATCTGTCACCTCTAATGCTTTAACTTTGGTTAACAATTTTACATGCATGTTCTCAAGCTTGTACTGTACAACATCTGAAAAAGGGGACACAGGTGATTCAATAGTTCCATCTCAGTACCCTGACTACAATATTTAATGTCTGAATCATGCACAGTACATTAGTACAGCAGGAGAAATGTCAAAAATGACACAGATCCAAACAGTGGAGCTCTGCTGCTCAGCTTTCAATTATTTTGATGATGTTGCACTTCGCTAAATCTGAAAGGGTTTCCTTTAAATTAGGATGCCCTCTGGTGGTTGTTCAAAGAACACAAGGAACCACTATCTCAACTTGAATCAAGGCCAACATGAACCACAAACATGCCTACATACGACCTACTGCAGAGTGACTCAACAGCCACATCATGGAAATATTACATTTGTTCATGTGATATTGTCACCAACATGTAAGTAAAAACTAAAGCAGTTATTTATAAGTAGCACGTGACTCTCTTTAGCCTCTAATGTAGTAACATTTCTTTACATAAATGTGTTTCTTAAAACAAAAACAAAAAAATTTGCATTTCTGTTAATCACTATTTGTTTGTCCTCTGGGGAAAAAAATTGAAATGGTCGGCTCATGGTCATGTTCGCTGATGCCACTTTTAACACGTCCAAATAAAGAGGGACTGGCAGAAAGAAATCTTCGATATGTCACCGAGCTACTAAGGTCAGAAATGGACATTATGCAACAGTTCTCGGCTGAATATAAAAAATTCATGCTCTCACCTTATTAAATAATTGAAAATGGTCTAAAGAGGTGGCCAGATTCCAGACCCCTGAGAAAATCAGAGATTTTGGCAACGATTCAGGGATTCAAACAGTGAATAAAATTAAATGGCAAATCAGTCTGTTTTTCACATCAGAAAACAAAAAAGACAGGTTTCTCTTCAGTGTTTGCTTTATCTAGACATTCATTTCATTTAAGGGCTGCCTTCTCATATGCATTAAAAAAATAAAATATATATTCACACATTAGCAAACATATAGTCTAGGAGTCAGTATTATCTCTGGCTTTATCATCTCATATTTGTTACTTATCTTTAACTGTAATGTGGCAAGCGCAAATATGCACTTCCTAAATGAATCTTACTTTATGTAAGCACACAGGCCGTCCTGATTTGACTGCTGTTTCATGGCAACAGAGGACCTGCAGCTATTTTCAGTTAGTCAGCTAAGTCGATGACACATGTTGCCCAGTTTATTTCATAGTTCCTCCCAAGCTCAGAGAATCATTTTGTATGAATTCAACTAGTACACTTAACACCAAATATACTGAGTGATTTAGTGACTCCACAGCATAGTGCTCTGCTGCTGGAAGGAGATATCACACCATAGCACAAAGCATGATGGGTGATGAGACCCCTCACAATCAGGCACTTGTTATCGTGCTTGGTTGAATACCCAACAATAATTCTCAGTGTAACATTCATTGGACACTTAAAATAAATAAGTGTTTGCATGGGACACCATGTAAAGTAAAATAATAATGCTTCCCTGTGTTTAGATAAGAAATAATCCCACTGAGTTATTAAAACCTTTGTAATTGTAAAACTATGGCCATATTTGGTCATAACCTTTCAAAAACATGAGACTGCTTTAGGAAGCTACTGTGTTCCCACAGTCCTGTTCAACAATCACAACAAGGTTCCCATGGTTCAACCTAGAGACCAAGAACCAAAATAACCTTGGTAGATCTCAGGGTGAAACGGGAGTACTGGGTGTCCCAGTTAGCAAGAGAGCGAGACAGAGTGCATGTTGACACACAGTCTTATAAAAGGTGGCCGCAAATATAATGCAAGCCATCCTGAAATGTCAATACGACTTTAAAAGAAACCATTCTAACGTTTGTGCAATCTCTTGAATTTAAAATTTGTATCCTAAAATACGCAGGGTCGCACATTTTGGTGACCAAGGTAGGTAAATGAAAGATGAAACTCCTGCTTTGACAGCTAGTAAATAGCCCGACTAAAAATAGATTTCAGAAATAGCTAAGTGCACAGGTCTACGTGTGAGGAAAACACCGACAGGTTTGGCTTAAATATTACAGCACAGAGACGCCCAAAAGCAGAACAATGTCAGTAGAAATATTTAACACTGAAGTAACTGACAGACCTGCTTGGAAAACCACAGTGTTCTTTCTGCATCCTGACAGCAGCTGAATGTTTCGGAGTAAACCCTTGGCTGTCAGACGCACGTGGATGTTGGACAGCGAGAGCTTCGGAGACCATAACATCTCTCAAACACAAAGCAAGACAGCCAAAAATTACTTTAAAAACAAAAACAATGTCCAAGTGCAGAAGCTTGTTACTGTCTATGAACCACATGCCATGATGTGCCTCAGTGTATCGTGCCCCAAGTGATAGCAGCACTGACAGGCAGAAAATAAATAAATCAATAAAAAACAGTAGGAGTTACACGAGCGCGACAGCCTTGAAAAAAGAGAAGGCACCCAATTCAGCATGGCAGGTCTCCCGACTCAAAATCTAAGTCCCATCTGTGAAGGCTGGAATACACAGAAGGTCAAAGGCTGGCCAGAGGTTTGTGGCACAACCTGATAGATATGATAGGGGATTAAAAATCCTTTAATCCTCTCAATAATCCTCCAGGCTTCAGCTATTCACCAAACACATGAATCTCCAACAGCAGATCAAAGCATCTCCAAGCTGGATGATGGCGGTGCTGTAGCAGAGCCAGGATGCAGGGGGGGGGGTGGAGTGGGAGAGAGACGAGTGGGAGGAGTAAACAGCATAACTGCAACCAATGGGAATTTAATCCAGCCCCCAACTCTTACTCTCATTTACTCCCTTTCCCTGTGTCATCAGCAGTGGGGTGGCGAGGGATGACAGACTTCTCATGGCATTGTTTTGGCTGATGAGCTGTGCTGTAAACAGCTTGGCTCTCTGTGAAAATATGCCCTCAGATACGACTCATTCTTAACCCAAGACTCAAAATAATGTGCTGACTAAGTGTTATATAATGCAGCATGTTTATCACTTAGTTTCTGCAAAACTGTAAGCTCTAGCAAACTGTAACAACACTGCAAAAACACTGTAACCGACAGGAAGACACAGATATGCATCAAGCATTGTGTGTAAGCAGAAGAAAGCAACAATGGGCAATGACTTTGTTTACAGGAAACAGATGTGAAAGACTGTGAAAGAATAAAAGTGTGGCCACTGATAAACACGATAACCCGAATGTAAAACCACATCCGATATAGTACCACAAGCTCGTTATAACACTCAGCGGCATTGAAATACTACTTCATCAGTAGTTTCAGCGGCGTAAAATACAGATATTTACAGTTGATATTCTTCTAAATAGAGGCAAGACTTGAATATGAAAGACTCTTTGTAGTTGATAATGTATCAGTTCTCTATTAAAACGAAACATGATTTTAAGTAGGGTGAGTGCATCAACAATACACAAGTTTAAATTAAATTTAAATACATACAATTTTATTATTAGCAGCCAATGCTGTATTGAAAACACAATGAAAAGAGAAATCTCTTACCAGGTCCACTTGAAGTTACACGAACAAGTCTTGCAGAAGCGGTCCTTTTCAGTGGACTGACTGTAGAATTTGAAGCTCCTTTGCTGGTGGAAGCAGCAGCTTTGCCTGATGTGGCCAAAGCTGTTAAAGGCAGAAGACCCAGGTGAGACACGAGGCAGGAGTTAGTCTGACCCATAATGTAGCACTAACACTGACAACTGGCCACAACCGCAGACAGCTTTTCTGTTAGAGCTCATGTCATGAGGTTTGGTCAAACATACTGTTCAACTGAAGAGATAAAAGTAATTTAATCAAGATCAAAGAGCCATTATGAAATAGGGTTATCACGCAAAATAAACAACATTTGGAGGTAACAATAGCTTGAAAAGTATTTGAGTATTAGGGGGGGGACTTTCAACCTAATTATAATGTGAGGTTTTGATGAAAGATAAAATCAATGAGGTCTCACTCATGTTTACTCTACAAATGGGAGTTCGGAAAGTGAGATTTTTTAAATCTGATTAACATTTAAGCTCAATTGCTTCAAACAAAAAAGATAAAAATGAGACATCCTTGTACAGGAACACAAGATTAAAGAAAAATCAAGACGTGATCTCACTTGGTCCAGTGTTTTTCCCAGGGGTTGGGATGAGCCTAGCCTTCAGCACGGCAGTTTTGAATGAGGCTGGTTTATGTGCAGCTCCTCCAGAAACTGTTGAACAAGTAAAGTAGTGATTGTTAAATACTGCAAATCATATTGTCATATGTGGAAGATCGTGTTTTTGTAGAAGCATTGAAATGTAAGTACTTCCTTGGAAGGGTCCATTGTGTCAAAACATTTAAATACATTACTGATAGATTTTTATTAATTAAAAATATTTATTAAGTCTAGCTTTTATTACATGCGAGTTGAAACCATGCTTGCGTTCTGCATTTGGTGTTCATTCTCTGTGTGCCTAATGGTGGCCTAAGCTCTTGCTGACTTTCTCCGAGTTGCACTTTAAGATTTTCATGATATATGAATTAATTGGTTTACTTTGATTAGGCAGGCTGAGTAAATTGACAGCTCATATGAGTAGATTTATCGTAAAGATCCTTCGGTGTTTAAAATAGAGAAAACATAACTTCCACACCCACAGTTCCAATTCTAAATCAAATTGATTCAACCTTATGTACGAAAAAATACACACCACTATTATTATATTATATGTTATGTTATATGTCCGTTTAACATGGATGTTCGTCTATAGAGTAGTATACAGAATAACCATCTGGACAATTCTCTCCCTTTAGGTAGTCCTCACTCTCAAAACGGTTGGCCCTTGATGTAAACAGACCATTTTTGGTATAACAAGCACAACCCTCAAGTGTTTGTTATTTTAATAAATTCATTAAATATAACCATTCTGGTAAAATATAATAAATCGGATTAACAAAAGATTGTGTTAATCTGACCATTATGAAAACATTCACCATATCACGATTGACCCAATACTCAATTAAATTTGTAAACATTAAGACAATGAATATCTAGCATGTAAAACAAATGTTTACGTCCTCTCAGCTAAACTGATTAAAATATCCAGAAGCTCTTTAAACTAAATGCTTCACCGTAGATACAGCAGTCATGATTCCAGTCTCACTTACTTCTCCAAAGCTTTCTATCTTTTCCATGAAATGCAGCTAACAAAGGGATGATACAAAAGCGATAGGATCCAATGAGCAGGCATGTCAAGAGGGTGAGATCACAGTTAGATGCTGCACTGCTCTGTGGCACTGAAGAGGAGTTGTTGAAAACATGAGCTGGAAATTCAGTCCAAGTGCAGCTGCGAAGTCCTGTGTAACCAGCCATAGGTTTTTAATTAAAGAAGAAAATGGGGAAACTGCTCCTTTTCTGCACCTCAGACGACATCAGTTGCAGTGTGTGTCTGCTCACTCTCCTCCAGGCAACGCTGCGTGTGAACTAGAGTGGAATAGAACACGTTGCCCTGACAACCATACAAGGAGGGGGTCCACAGTTTGGAAAATAGGTCCTCTCGGCCAATCACAGACCTGCATGCTGTTGAAGATGCTGGGAGGAAAAAAAGAGCCCACTGTCTTAACAGTGCTCTCGGTCTCTCTTCTTTTCTTTGGGAAAATTAAATACCATCACAGAGCCATTTAAAGCTCAGCAGCAACACGGGGTTTTTTGCTGGCTCTGGACTGGAGCTCATTCATAAAGAGTGTTTGATAGCTTTGAAATGTGTACTAATTTCTCACAGAGCTTAAATTAAAGAAATCTGAAAAATTCTACTGTATCTTGGGAGATGTGGAGGTATTAAGTCAGAGAAAGATTTACCCTGAGGCAGATTTACAAGCCCAGCCCTGAAGTGGGTCACTATGTAAAAGCAGACACCCCTCCCCTCCGTGTCCAGATGTGTCCTTAAAAAGCACAATAAACACGGTGGCTTGACCCTGGACAACAGCCTGCATGAAGCTGATTTTATACCTTTATGTAACAGCCAATGGGGACTGAACATCATATTACTAAAATCCTTGTTCGGCTCACCTTGTGTACTCCCAGCACCTTCACTGCCCAGGGTCTTGCGTGGTAATCTAGTAGCAGGAGTAAGGGGAGGGCCCATAAGAGAGGGGCGAGTGGGAGTCTGAAGAGGTCTGGATCCGTTCAGCTGGGGCTTAATACTCGCTGTTAAGGCAGTTCCAAGGGATGGCTGCTGGCCTGTTGCCTGCGCTCTCTGACTGCCTGCGATCAGTGGAGCACAAACAGAGGTCAGCAGCATGAACCCCTTTATTAAGGACAAATACACACAATAAGCGCACCGGTCTAGTGGTCTTGAATACAAATGTGAGCAGTAAAAACAGGCCAAATCAGGCCTAATAAACCTGTTAATATTTTCTCATAACAAGTAGTAGAATAATGAGTCCTTTTTATGGAATATTTTAGAGATGTTTGCCCCAAAATAAAACCTGTAAAAAGTTAAAAACTACATTTAAAAATGTAAATAATGTAAATATAATAATATTATATAATAGCTTGCCCACTTCTTAATTGTTATAAGTCAAAGAAATTGTACAAAACTTACCTATCTTACTCACTACAGCAAACATGTCAAATTTGATCAAGTACAAACAAACAAAATAAATAAATGTTGCAGTTTAAGCAAGATAGTGAATCCTGGAGGAGTGTCCCTGTAGCCAGAGCAAGAGAAGGTTATTGCTTGTTTACTGTTCTCACAGCACTTGTTTCAAACACTGTGCTCTCACTTTATTACTGGTGAGCTCAAAACCTCCCTTTCCTTCCCCTGCTTTTTCCACTCGTACAGATGGCTTCCCATCAGAGGAAGAGTCCCCCCCCCCTTTCCCAGGACTCCTCTTACTATGAGGAGCACACGGGCAGAGGGAGTTGGCTGTTTATCCCCAAGACCTGGACAAGAGACCGGAGGTGACATCTGTGTCCAACACTGTTCCTGTGGAACATGGCTGAGCTCATCAAAAGACAGTAGGTCTATTGGAGGAACTGCTCAATGTTGCCCTCTGATGGAGAGAGAGCTTTACTACAACCTGAATAACTTAAGTTTACAACAACATGTCTAGATGGAGCAGAGCTATGCAAATTAAAACTTAAAACATTTCGTGTTTGTTATTTTCATTATTTCTGAAATGAGGGCTGTAAGCTAGAAAATATTTCAGAAATGTTTATTAGTCATTTATTTATTTATAATATAAATCACTATCTTATAATATTATTGTGTTGCTTTAAAAGGATCCTGCTAATCCCCCTTAAAAACCATATACCTCTGGTGCTGCTGTCATATACGGCCCTTCAAAGTAGTCCAAGTCAACTTCTCTACTACGCTTGTTTCAATTATACACAGGTTTATTACACAATTCTGTTTGCACAACGGAGGAAATAGTTAGGAAATCATTAGCTCTCTGCTGAGTCAAAAGCAGATGAGAGTATTGATTGTGACCTAGTGTCTGTGTTTGTTTACTGACATTTACAGGTCAACTTTCCTCTGTAAAACAAATGAAGAAAAACTTTAAACTTTTCTTAAGACTCCCACAAAGTTATTACAGGCTCAGCTTAACTGCACAACAAAAAAACACACAGCAGAGTATTTGACATCGTCCACCTGTTATAAGTCTTACCTGTACTACTCTTCTGCTTGGATTGTGGCGTCCCTACAGCTTTGGAGGTCCTGCATTCATCCCTCCCCAAGGTGGCCTGCCTGGCTGACAGAGTGGCTGATCTGGGACTGGCAGCTGGAGTTTGTGAAAGTGTTGGTCCTCTTGTTTGTCTAGGAGATGGCCGTCCTCGAAATCTGCTCTTACTCTCATCCCACGGGGCTCCTGCTGTTGTCGATTTGCCCAACTCTGCCTGCAAAGAGAGGAATTTCTCACTTAGTCACTCAGATTTATGCAATTGGCCCTGTGAACTACTTAAAAATATCTGGATCCAATGTGGCTTACAGAAACAACTGCAACAACATGAATATTAGCAGTAATTGAAAATATGTTTATTTAATTTAATTTGTTAAAGGTCCAGTGTGTAACATTAAGGAGGATATATTGGTAGAATTGGATTATAATATTTACACAGATGTGTTTTCATTATCACTTATCACTATAATCACCTGAAAGTAAGTAATTGTTGTGTTTTTGTTACCTTAGAAGGAGCCGTTCTACAGCCATCCTCTGCCGTTTTGAACCAACATGTTTCTACAGTAGCCCAGAATGGACACTCGCTCTAAATAGGGCCTTTCGTACTTTTCACGAGTGTTGTGGCCAACATACTTGAAAGGTGAGCGGTATTCAGTTGGTCACAAACTTCACCGCTAGACGCCACTAAATCCAACACACTGGTCCTTTAAATGTACTTATTACATTAAAAGTACATACTCACCACCAGACTGATTTTTTTAACCTCTCTTGTGGAGTTTTCAGCAGATCTGTTGGCGGCCTCAGCCCGTTTGGCCCGTTTATTCTGGGAAGAGCAGCTAAAGTTCCCTGACGATGAACTCTCGGATGAGCAGCGAGGTCGCATCTTGAGGACGGGAGGCTTGTTGGGACGCAATGCTGAGCCTGACTTGACCTCAATTTTGCCTGACACGCCCTTCTTCGGAGTTGGTTTGGGATCCGTTGGGCCACTTCCATCAGGGGATTTTTCTAAGGATGAGAAGGAGAAGGTCTGGTTGCCAGCATGCTGTGCTGCAGCTTGGCTTGAGTCTGAGTGGCCTGTTTCTGTTTCGTTACTGCTTTGGACTGCTGAAGCATGTTTGTTTGCAGCTAAATGGCGGTAAGGTAGGGATTCTTTCCTCTTACCCTGTCCATCCACAGCAGTGTGCCCAGATGACTGTATCATTGTTACGCCTGAATTAGAAGCCCCCGTATTCACTTGTCTCAGAGCATCATTGACCATTTTTGAGGTGGGAGAGACAGCAGTGCTACTCCTTACCTTGGCAGGACTAATCCTCATAGCTGCTCCTCTGTGCGTGTCAGTGTGTTTATTGTTCACATTAACTTGTGAGGTTTTTTGCTGTGAATTAGGGCCTGGTAGTGACACTTGATGCACATTTCTTGTCACGACTTTAGATTTTACATTGCTGAAGTCTGACTTGGGAAACTTCTTAATTTCCATTTTCTTGACTTTGCTGGTTGAAGGTGGCAGTCCTGCAACCAAACGTTGTTTAGGAGAAGTGGAGATCTGCTGCTGTTGTACAGGATGGCGTCCTGGGCTGCCTGTGTTTCGAGTGCAGGGGGACTCTGAAAAGGATGGCAGGCTGGGTATCTTGTTCCCGACGTATTGTATTGGAGTGGAAGTATGAATATCCTTATCAGTGTCTTGTGTAGCTGACAGAGTGGACACAAAGGTCTGGCCTTGTTCTGGTGTGAATGTTCCAGGGAAATGAAGCAGCTGTGCTCCAGCAGTAGCAAACTGAGCCTCTTTTCCACAATCTGCAGGAGATGTTTCACAGACAAAAGTCATCAAAAGAGCTCCTTCACTCTCACTTGGCAGAGCTACAGGAGAGATGGATGCTGCCGTATCATTTTCTTCACTGGGGAGCTCTGCCTGAGTGAAAGTCGTGCCAAGACACGGATGGCCTGCGTTCTCCTCAGTGACTCTTTCTGTGGATATTTCGCAGAAATCCAGCAGAGTGGTTGACAGCAGGTTAGATTCAGCAGGCGTTTCCGGATGGCCTGCAGTAAAAGAGATTGATGACTCATCCAGGGAAGAGACTAATAAGAGTGACTGGTCCTCCAGGCAAAAACTGTTGCTCCTCATTACCATTTCCCCAGAGCTCAGGGAGCAGCAGTCATTCTCAGTGGATCCTCTACGGGACGTCTCACATGAACCCAGCTGACTTTCCCTCCCAGCAGAGTCTGGAGAAATCACTGCGCTGTTATTTCCATCCTCTGTGTTCTTACTAAAAGTCTGGTACTGCTCTGATCCCGTCTCGTGGTTGCTCAGTAGACTCAAGTTTTCATTCCAGAAATTCACACTTCCATTTACAGGTGTAGCTATAAAAGTTTGGTTCAGGTTCGTTCTTACACCACAGGGCACATTACCCTGTGGTAAGGTGGTGCTGAAGGGGTTATCCCCAGGGGAACCGTCGCTGAGGCAGCACTCGAGCATGTTCACATCAGGAGAACTGTTGGTTTCTCTGTCGCTCAGGATGGAAATGCTACTTACTGAGTCAGGTGAAGGGGACAGTGGCAAGCTGCTGTAATGACTCTCAGCTGAGACCCCCACTGGCAGGTTTCTTTGGGCCAAAAGAACTGTGTGCTCAACTTGTTCAGAGGACATGTTAAATGTTTTATTAGACATTTTTGAGTTCTGATGGGGTTTTGCCTATTGGCGTTACAGTCTGTCAGCAGCACTGTAATCCATTAGATTTTTGATGAGGCATGAATATCTGTAGAGGAGAGGAAACAATCAAAGTTTTAGAACCATTTTACTGCATTATCTATGTTGACATCTTTGTAGTTTCACAGAATGGTAACAGGGACACCGCAAATTTAGCTTAGGGCTCCAAAAACCATTGACCATTGTAACATTAGCTGGATCCTCAAATTATTTATGACTTGGTCCAATGAAAAATGCAGAAGTCCTCAGGATCATGCTTAAGGTACTGTAGTGCAAGTCTCCTAGTTGTGCTGTACGGTGCAAGCTGTAGTTTCACTGATATTGTTGATTATCAGATTACCTTTCTAAAAATACGTTTTACCAGACACCATCAAATGTCAAGGCACCTACTTTTCCCTGTGAGACACACTTTAGAAAATCCCACTACAACTACTGTCACTGGTTTCTCTCCTGAATCAGGGTTTAATAATAACTTGAGGAGCAGCAGGTATGAGTTTACTCTGAAATGAACCAACATGCGTTTGACATGAGAAGTCTTAACTGCTTTGTTGTGTACTGTTGTGTTTATTTAAGCTGACTGGACTGCTAAGCTTGCCAGGCACTACTATAACAAAAGCACCATTGTGGTATGCACCACCAGAGACTAAGATATCAAGTCACCAACAGCCTGAAAACGATCCAGCGCGTAGAGACGGTTCAGTTTATAACATGCAGCATTTTAACCACGTTTCCATTCTTGAGTGGCAGCCTCCTCTTCTTTGGCTTGTTTGTATGTTTTACTGTCAATATAGAAGTTTCTCTTGTAGGAAAACATAATCCAGCAGTTGAAGACAAGGCTCTACTTAAAGGAAGTGATGTAACTAATGAGTTATAGACACCAGTGGTCAGTAACACTTGACAACACTAGATGTAGTTGCAGGTGCATAAATTACATTGAATTAATTCTCATAGCTAAAATATCAGCCACCTACACAACCCGAGTTATGGTACCACACTGACTCAGAGTTTTCTTCAGTTACAAATGACACATTCAGCATTCAGCAACTCAAATACACAGACTTTTCTTTGAAAGAGACACAAAGGTTCAAAGTTAATAAAGATTGTTTCTTGCAAACAAAAAAAGAAAAAAACACTAAATCTGTCTGGAACATTCTGGTTTTATGTTGAAGCACACACACCTTAAAATGTCAATATGAAATATGTTCGACCTTAGAGTGACGCATGGGGCTGTGCTGACAGCTCAGTCTGTAAAGAGCACAATATGAAATACTGAAATATCTATTCGCTCTATTCTGTGAAACATTTGGGAGAATGACATTTTGAAAACAATACCATACTTATTATTAGGTGTTAATATTTAAATCTGCCTTATATTCCACACATCTGCTGAGAAGATATTTTAAAGCAGCTCTGTTTTATCAAAATGGCCAACAGTCACAATCAGGTGATGAATAATATGCTTGTTTAATAGGGCAGGGAAACAACACACCTTACTGCACATTACAATCTGTGCAATCTAATAAAATACACAGCCTTGGCAAAGTACTGTGCACATTGAACCTTGGCAACAAACTGCCCCTCCGAGGCCGCTGCAGTATCGTCCCACACATATTAACAAGGCAGAAGTGATTCTGTTGGTTAAAAATTGACATTGTTACAACAGCCCCTGAGACAAAACATGACCGGACAATGTTTACGGAAAAACAAAAACCCAACCAACAAAAAGTTCAAGCTAAAAAAACAAAGCAAAGAAACACAAAAACAGATCACTACACTTACCTTTCACTAAGAAGGAACGATAAAAGTGGGGAACATCCACACTCAGCTGTGTTTCCTGCTGTATCAACTCAGTTTTCGCAGGTTCATCCGGCTCATTTTACTCTCTCGGAGACAATCCCATTACAGTCTGCCTCTGCCCCACCGCTCCTCTCTCCTCGTGTTCAGAGTCAACCGTGCATCAGTAACATCACAGAACTGAATGAGGGTGCCCCTTGTGCCGGCGGTAGAGATTCAGTGTTTTCCTCCCCTCCCTGAAGTAACGTGACGTCCAGCAGGCCCGCTGCAGCACCGGGTCAGCAGTCTGTCCAATCAGCCATTATGTCAGATACCATCACTGACTTGGCTGCACACACTGCTCCCCAGCGCAGAGACATCAAGGTCCAACTAAGGACTGTGCTCGGCGTGGAGCTCCACTCCCGAGTTCACAGAGGGAGCAAGCGAGGAGGAGAGCAACGCGTTACCTTATCCATGCCGAGCCCAGAGCAAAGGGGGAGTGGCTACGGCCCGCCAGGCCGAGTTGGCATTCACTGTTGCTTAGCAGCCAAAGTCCCTCTTTTATGAGCAAATGGATCAGTCGGCTTTTTAGTACGGGATAAGTGAAAAGAGGAGAAGAATGACGGGAGGCCTGGGCGCAGGAGAATGTTGCACTATGACATTTTTGAACCAGAAACATTACAGACACTAACTCACTCCACGACGTCGGTACGTTCTCCAGAAGTCCTCCACCGACAGTGTCACGTCTGATGACCTCATGTTGTACACAAACAGTTTGACATTCGAGCCTCACGCCGCAGCAGTGGTGTGACACCAGAGTCTAACACCCATAAGACCGACGCTATTTCTGCTTAATCTACACAAGACCCCTGACCCCCGGGGGACTACCGTCTAATCTTAACCCCAGACCAGATGTAAATCATGGTATAGAGTAGGCTTATTATCTCCTCAGAGCTCCAGGAATTAGTTGTTATATCCTGTCAAACCTGTTATTTACTGGGTCTTGTTACGTAATCCAAGCGGTGGTCTTCAACTACGGTTGTTGACAAGATTGAATATGTGATGTCCGTTTGAAAAGGTAGCTCTTAGACTAGATTCACAACTAAAACCTGAGTTGTGTTGTTACCTACATGTAGGATCATACTGATACCCAACTACTGTGTGCTTAAATAGTTAAAGTTTAAAATGTATTATCAATATAACTGTCTGATTTGAGGCCTCACTAAATACTTCTGTTTATCTTTATATCATTTTAAAGCAAGCCACTGCCTTCAAATTGAGTGATATCAACAGAACATTGCTTCCTTTCCCTTTCCTTGCCTTTGCATGGGTGACTGGACATCTCGGTATAATACAGCGAGCAGTTATGAGCAGCGAGGCACAGAGCCGTCCCTCTCTACGGCGGGGCAGCAGGTCGAGCCGGGGGGATTCCAGCCAGCCAGCATACCACAGGGAGGGACAACACTGTCCTCTGTAAAGCACAGGGAAACAGAAACCACACCACTGAGCTCCGGTTGGAAGAATAGCACGGCACTGTCTTTCAGCAGAATATTAATCAGTCTGCTCCGACAAGACAAAGTAGAAAAAAAAGGCTTTCAAGACAAAGCTGTGGGCTTGTGTCCTGGTTAAAGCTCAACCTGAAACATTGTGCCGGATATAGCACCGTTGTTTCAGTCCACAGTCACAGGTGTGTTTACAGATAACATGAATGAACCTCGCTGGGTGTGTTTCTCCTCAGACACACGAGGTAACATTTTCTGATCAAAACACCCCCCCACCGCACAACCCCCCCCCCCCTT